GGGCTGGCAGAGGGAGCCCGCCATGAGGGCGGCTACAGGAGGGCACACTTCCTTGGCCCACGGTGGTGGCAGGTAACAGACACGTAAACACAGGAAATAGCCATAAGTATTTATTAAGGAAGGGGGAGAAAGAAAGACAGAGAAAAGAGATAAAAGGAGAGAGGAGAGATAAAAGAAGAGAGAGACAGAAAAAACGCGTGCGCACGCTAAGGAAGCAGAAAGAGAGAGAGAGGTCCCAAGATGGCGATGGGCGGGTCAGAGGTTATGGGAGTGGGCGTGGCTAGGGCAGGGACCCAAGAATATCACCTACTGCTGGACATGGGGCCTGCCCTGAAGTCTGGTTTGGATACCCACTGAGACTCCATTGTAGAAAATTATCCTTTGCAGGCAGTTGTGAATTGGTGATAGCTTCTTGGTAGTGGATAGCGACTCTAAGCACTGAGACCCACCCGATGTGAACCTTTTCAGGACCTGGGCATGTTGCCTCAGTCTCTGTGAGTTCAAATATACACCAGTCTTGCTGTGTCTGGAAGACGCTGTTTCCTTGTTATCCATCCTCTTTGGCTCTTACACTCTTTCTGCCTCCTCTTCCACAGAACTTCCTGAGACCTGAGGGATGGGGTTTGATGAAGCGATCCCATTTATGACGGTATGTTCCAGAAATATCTCACCCTCTGTATGTTGTCTAATAGTGGGTCTATATACTAGCTCCCATCTGCTTCAAGAGAGAGCTTCTCTGATGTTGACTACATGAGGTCTGATCTAGGAACACAGGAAATATTTAAATCTGCTTTGTAATTCTCTTGATTTGTGGTTAGCTGATCATTTATTATATGCTTTTTAAAAGTAAAAAAATAAATAAATATGTTCCTAAGACAAATATAATTGCATTAGTTCCTCTGAATATAAGATCTACCTTTTGGAAAAATTTATGTATGTATATATGAAACAATTACTGGGTATCAGGAAAATCGAGGAGGGGTTTGTATGAAAAATCTCTGTTAAAAGGAATCATTACACACTTACATTTAGTTTCATGACACTGAAAACTAAAAACTTAGAATTTATTATAAAAATTTTCTACAATGAGCTCCTGGAAAAAAAAATACACACAGCCAACCCACCCCCAGCAAAAAAAAAAAAAAAAAAATTTAAAAATCACCCCCAACAACAACAACAAAAACTAAAGGAATTAGCACTAAAACCAGGTGATTTTGCAATTAGGAAAGAAACCATGTCAACCCCTCCTTTCAGCTTCATTGCAAAGAGTCCTATCAAGTACTTTAAAGAACCCTCCACGCTGCGAAACTTCAATGTATAGACCCTAGTGGCCAGATTTCTCACCTTGAGCTCACACCAACTTCTGAGGACTTGTTTAATCAGACTTCAGAAAATCTTGGTGCTACCCATCCTTGATTACAACTCTGTACCCCGATAACAGAACTCTAAACCCTCTGTCAGAATTTCCAGTAATCCTTTCTCTTTTATACTTCTTAAATCCTGTTACATTTAGGAATTCTAGCATTGTTTGATGTTGGAATTTTCAAATCATGAAAATGATAATGATCTTGATTTTAGTGAAACTACAATAAGGATGATATTATATCCTCTCAATAGCCATGTTTTTATATGGATTGCTTACTTAGCTAGGTCTTTTACTTTTATAATGAAATTTTCATGTTTAAGAAGATTTAAAACTTTAATACCCTCATAAAATAATTCTCGTCTTACTTAGTATAGTTTTGTTAAAAACAAATACTGGTTTAAACAGACGAAGACCAAATTCTTCCAACAGGAACTCCACCTGAGAGAGGTATTACCTCTGCTTCAAGTCAAATTCCCATTACCCAGAGAAATGAAACTTCTTCCTACAAAAAAAATATTAACTGAATCAAACCAATTGAATTAATATGCTGTTGCTTACATTCATCATATTAATATATAGCATACTGAAGTCTCTGGGAAGCATATGACATACAATATGCATCTTACAGAAACCTTAACTCCATTGATTCTTTGAATCCTTAAATTCCAATTTTACAAAAACAATATACCTTCAATTACAATACCCATAACATTCATACATTAAGAGCTAGTGCTTCCTGATTAAATATGTCTTCAATTATTTACCAGTTATTTCCTTTCCTTAAGATTGCTCTTCTATCTACTCAGCTTTGGATCTAAGAGAGACCTCTTCTGCCTACTGAAGTGCATTAAACGATGCTTGGCTTCCAAATGCACAAAATATTATACTTGAACAACAGGGAGAACTGTGGACTGAGATTCCTAGACACCATAGCTACATTAAAGATTCTACAAATGCTTAGAACTTCATAATTATATACTATAGATAGTTGGAATGTTGTAGATGCAGAGCCAAATTATCTTCCTCTGACTTTGGTGTTTACATAACTGTTTATGCCCACCTCTGTGTCTGCTCTTTCTTAAGAATATCAGTATTTCAGACTATATTAACTTAGAAGACCAGTAACTTCCATCGATCTAAAAGCTAAGAATGCCAGCATCAAGAATAGCATCAACAGGGTGATTGTGGCTCACGCCTTTAATCCCAGCACTTGGGAGGCAGAGACAGGCAGATCTCTGTGAGTTCGAGGCCAGCCTTGTCAATATTAGCTAGTTCCAGGACAGTTTCCCAAGCTACAGAGAAACCCTGTCTCGAAAAACCTCAAAAAAAAAAAAAAAAAAAAAAAAAAGAATAGCATCAAAGATCCTCAACAGAGGTTTCCCTGACGTCTGACTCCCATCTCCCTGCTGTTCCCATGAAAGTATCTGAAAAGTGCCTTGACTTATGACTTCAGTTCTGTAACTTTAATACATGATGTTGCAACATGAGCCTGTGTTTCTGGGCCAGTAACACACATATTTGGCTCAAGAAGAATCTCTTGTGTTCTGCTCAGGGTGAGAGTTATATGTCATGTCAACATAGTTATTTGCTAATATATAAATATTTGTGTTCAAATACAGGTGAGCTTTCTATCTGTCCTTTGGAACAAAAGGCTCTTCAGCAGGTAGGCTTCTTGACAATCTTGCAGTTCCAGTTGCAACATAAATGCATATTTATTTTATGCAGAAGCAAAATAGAACATATGATATTTGTAAAAGCTATTAGCTATAAAAACAATTTTTTGTATTTACTTTTGCTTGCTTAAACGTGTTCTCACGTTAGAAAATTTTCAGACATATCTCGATCTGTGACTACAATTCCACTGGCCTCCCAGACTGTGGTTTTACACATTAGCTGGATGTTGGCTTCCTATGAACAACTCTTGCACGATATTTGGAAGCTTGTGGGCTATTTATTTGTTTGTGTGTGTGTGTGTGTGTGTGTGTGTGTGTGTGTTCTGTACACCTTCTCACACCTTAGAGACATCTACCCCAAAAAAAACCAGATTTTTGTATTGGAAAAGGCTGAAGAGTGAGTTTTCGTTTGTGTAGTACATTGAGATCACTGAGTCAAATGAGAAACATGTTCTCCCCTGCTGTGCTTGGTTTGAGCTCGGGTATGAGGCTTCATCTGAAGCATCTTGCATCGGTGGAATTGCAGCAGCAGCTCTTGCCTCGTTTCCTCACGAGACAGCCAACCACTGAGGGAAAGCAGAAGCTCTCAGACTGGTGACCCCTTTCACGTCATCTGGAAATCTTTCCTATACCAAGCTGCTAAATCAGAGACTGGGATGGGGCCACGACACTTGCAAAATAGCCAGTGTTCCTGAGGAATCCAGTTGAGAGCAACTGCAAGACTGCTCTGCCATGGACTTTTGCTCTTTTAGTCCGCTCTCACTAACCCACCTTCTCTTTTACTTTACATTTCCTATTCCTAAAAAAACCTTAATTTTCCAGGCTTTCCTTTTTCCTCGATTTTTTTCTTTCTCATGATAACCAAATCAAAACCATTAAGCTTCAGCATTGCTGAGTTCCTGTTGGATTTTCCTAAAAAAAAAACCAGTTTATTTAATAAATAAATATTGGTTATATTCAACCTAGAATGTTTTGGTTTAGATCTGGGTTTAAATAACATGTCATTGGAAGGCTCTGAATCTGAGTTGTTTCTGCCTTTACTGCATAATTGTATTTAACTTATGGTTAATATGTATTCAATATACATTTATATCTCTTGTGATTACTGATGCACTTTGTGCTTTCTGTTTGTCTTTGATTCGGTAGATTTAGATTCTACTGCACGAAATAAACACATCAAGTGGAAATGGGAGACTGGTTCTTTTCCACTCAGACAAGTTTGAGCTTGATTCTAGTGTCAGAGTACAGTCATGTGGAGACTTCTTCCAACTTGTCCCAGCATTTCCGAGGGACACTTGCCTTCTGACAAACAAAGATTTGTACAACTCCTATCACATCACAGGACTTAGAATGAGAAATAAAAAGGAAGAAAAATGGTTATCTATATGTTGATACTTTCCTGGAACTCAGAGCTAGCAGGCAAGAATCCACTCACATGTCCACATCCAATGTCAAGGGAAGGTTAACACTTGTCCATAACCCTAAGTTTCAGGCGCATACACATGGTATTTTCAAAGAAAGAATGGTTACTGGAGAGGCAGCTATCAAGTCCTGCTCTCTACTTAACCTTATTTATGACTATGACTTATGCATTGCTTCCCCCTCCCACTCCGTGTGTGTGTATGTGTATGTGTGTGTGTGTGCTTTATGCTCACGTGTGTGCTGGTCTTCTAGCTCTAGCCCACGAGCAGGCATGCAGAAGTCAGAAATCAGCTGTCATCTTGTCGATATCACTTCCAGCTTTTTGATCCTGCTCTAGCTTGAAAGAAATACATGTTAGTCTACAGCCATCCCACCCTGAACATATCCAATCTTGTCTGATCTTGGAAGGTAAGCAGGGTCAGGCTTCTTTAGTACTCAAACAGGAGAAATAGATTTTAGTGATTGATCTAAGCATTTAACAAGCTCATAAGAACATTTGAATTCCATTCCTATACTTTTCAAAGAATGTAATGTTTTTTACCCCTTAACTTGGATGTTTGTATGTTCATTCTGCATATTAGAGTTGTCATTGTAAATTCTTATTGCACTTTGAATTGCACTCTCTAGACCAATAGAAATTATACTATTATTCAGTTAGTTACTATTCACCTTACTTACTCTTTAAGAATTTCATACATGAATACTGTACTTAAATCATTTTTCCCCATGGTCTGCTGTTCTCTTCATTTTGACTACTTTCATATTTCTGCAATAGTCTTCCATTTATCGCAAAAAAAGTTTCTTTGATGAGGGGTGAGAGCTGCACTCATCTCTGAGGAAAAGTATTTAGAATACAGTTAAAAATATGTTGGTTTAGGAAAATGGCAATAGTGGGTTCTCCTTTAGGGTCTATGATTTCTATATTCATGGTTACATCACTGGATTTAGAGGCCTAGGCACGATTTCTCTCCTCTTTAAAAGAGTTTAAGTCCAGTCATACAGCTCTTAGCTTCAAGATAAAGGTACCAGTATTGAACTATGAGGACTCTTTTTCCATGTTGGTCATTGTAGTTCAGAGGTTTTATATATAGATAGATCTATCAATTGCTTTTCTCCCTCAGCAGCTTGCATACATTACCTTCACATCCTATGAGAGCTAGTCCCAGGGCAGAGGCTTCCGGGTTATTTTCAGCTTGATTCCTCCAAGTCTTATGTCTAAAGCGTGTAGTTTCTTTTCTAATAGAATTTCATCTTCAAGTTATTGGTGGTATCCAAGAGCAACAGCAGAATCTATATTATTTTGGCATCTCTTGGATCTCTCTGAACAACAACTCAAAGAGAGGATTCCCATGCTTAGTACAGAGGCTTTGGTTATATAGTCAGTCCATGACTCTTGGGTGGATCTATGAAGAAGAGCTTTATTTATTATTTTTATGTAGTTTATAATATAAAAATATGTATATATGTAGACAGAAGGCTTGTCTTCATCTCACCTAGTCCCACTGGACTGGTTTCTCTACACCCACAGGGTCCCCCTCACTAGTTCTGGCATTTGCTTATGAAATAACCACTTTGAGGCTTATTATCAGTTACAGCTGTTTGACCATTATCTAAGGCTTATTACTGGCTATTAAATCAACCCATTTCTATTAATCTGTGTACTGCCACAAGGCTGTGGCTTAACCTGTGAGGCATGTTACTCCTTTGGCCACTACATGGTGTCTCCTCGACTCTGCCTACTCTATTTTTTTTCTTTGTTTAAACTTCCCACTTAGCTTTTACTCTTCTAAGCCCATTGGTTGAAATAGATTAATTTATCAACCAATAAAAGCAACACATATACAGAAATGGGTTAATTTAATAGCAAATACTCCTTTTTTCTATGGTTTTCAGTTTATTACTATTTTTACCATCATGTGTCTAGTGAATAATTTTCTTCTTTTATGTTTTCATTTTGATACTTAAATCCGAGTTTCATGACCTTTGTTAGTTTTGCAGATTTCTTAGTTTTTCATTTCATTAATTATGAGAACTTCTCAATCTGAACTCAATCTATTTTCAAGCCTCCTGTCACCCTGCCCTGGCTCTGCCTGCTGATTAAGTTATCAACCTTCTAGCTTGGCTCCTCTCTATTTGGTTCTCATCAAACTTTCTCTCACATCATCCATTGTGTCTTACTGCATTTTTCTACACATTTTTATAGACTTTCAGTAATTTATTATGTTGTATTTGATACTACTTTTAAGTAAGACAAGTAATGTCACATTTAACTAAAGAATTCTGGAGAACTATGGGGTGTATTACATCTTTATGCATAAATGGTAAAGAAGAAAGTCTGAAGTTCTCCTCTGGACTGACATAAATGAAAACTCACTAAAGTTTTTGTTTTAATAGAGGTCTTGGCAAAGTTGATGCACGTTCATTTAGAAAAGGATATGTTTCACAAGAGACAGCAGCAGCCACTTCCAAAGTCTGAATGTCTTTAAAGGCTCATTTGTTTAAATAACACATCTAAAGATGTTTTAGGGAACTGCACAAGACTAAACACTTTCACACAGATCTCCATATTGGGGGAGGGCAAGAGAATGGAACTGAGATTTTCTAAGTGTTTTCAACTTACACTTTATCAGAACTACACATAAACTATGAAATTGTATCTGTTGCTAGTTGACTGTACAGGAAGAAGGAACATTTCATCTGCAACTTCCTGATACCCTTTCTTGGCATTTGGGAGTTACCACTGGGCTAAGTCTCAGTACTGGAACACCAGGAACAATGACAAACGCAATTTATCTTTGTTTATCAAATGTCAAGAAAGGAAGAATCTTTTTCCATCCAGTTCTGGCTGAGGCTATGACCACACCCCTATCCAGTCATTCAGAGACCATGTTTTCCTATTACATTCTTGAGTGGATAGAAGTCATTAAAAGGTGTGGGTCTCAGTCTTACCTCCTCTCCAAGCCTTACTGTGCCTCTTTCCTGACTGCTCAAACCTTGGACCATAAGGTTGAAACTCCTGAAGGGCAGGAATGGCTTGATTTTCTCTAAGATTTCAGATTCCTCTGTCCTTTTGACTTTTGGAGTTTTGTCAACTCCCTTATTGGGTCAGTTGCATATTTATCACTCTTACTTTGAATTTTCAGATGTGAAGTATCTAGCCTGAATTAAATTCGCATGTCATCTAGCCTTCTCTAATGAAAGAAATGGAAATTATTTCTTTAATCAGAAGAGAAAGAGCACAATCACTTAAAGAACACCCGATGGGCTCATAAAACTGCTGTGCTTTAATGATTTCTTAATTTTCAGCCTTGCAAGTTTTAAGAGGCGTTTTCTTATGAATAGCAATCAATTTCTGGGAATTTTCTTACTCTCTTCCATTATAGTTTTTTTTAAAAAAAGATTTATAGATGTTCATTTTTGGAAATGTGTTTCCTGATATAGCCTTTCCCCCCCTCAGCTCTTTCCTTTTTACAGACCCTCCCGATTAACTTCATGTCAAAAGTTATGTCAATCTTATCTGCTTCAATATTAAGTTTCATGTTGCTGTTTAGAGTTTCAAATTAAGCTA